ACTATTATTATTATTATTATTACTATTATTATTATTATGATTACTATTATTATTATTATTATGATTATTACTATTATTTTTATTATTATTATTATTATGATTACTATTATTATTATTATTATTATTATTATTATTATTATTATTACTATTATTATTATTACTATTATTATTATTATTATATTATTATTATTATTAGTATTACTATTATTATTATTATTATTATTATTATTACTATTATTATTATTATTATTATTACTATTATTATTATTATTACTATTATTATTATTATTATTATTATTACTATTATTATTATTATTATTATTATTATTATTATTAATATTATTATTATTATTATAATTTGCAATATTTGAATTGCAACTGAATATGTTATCTTTTCTGTATGTTGGTTACTTTACAAAGCCATCCATAACTAATAGTATCCATCCGCTAGTATAGCGGGTAACCTTTGAATAACTTCTATTGTGCAATGTCTGACAACAAAAGGTAAGGAAACACTACCAGATTCTACCACTGTATCTTCCGTGTACACTCCCAGTAATTTGTATTCAAGGGGCTGTGATCAATGTCATTGTGCACATGCGCAGTTGGAATGTGAAACTGATTTATTTGTTCTAAAATTTTAGAATGGCTCTAACTTCATTGGCAATGACCGGAGCTGCAAAAATTGCCTACGATCTCATAGCAGGTTATCTTGATGATATCAAAACAGGCTCTTACGAAAATGAGGAACTGTGTTCGTATTGGAACGACGAAAAAGCAAGAGATGAACGGGCTAGAAAAGAGAGGACGTACAAAAATGGAAGATTCTCGCAAGAGAGGAGAACCGACGGAGTTCCCAATGGGACATGGTATTTCTGCTTCACGCATGAAGGTCTGCTCAAAAAGGGTTTGACTTTGGATTAGATATCCATAAGGTAAAGAAATATAGTGTAAGAGCTTGTACATGTTACATAATTAAAATTATGTAGACCAAACTCCCAATGACACGTTGAGGGACACAAATACCAGTGTAAAGTCCTTACTATCCATAGGCAGATTCAATGGGGGCTCACCTTGCCCGGGGACCCCTACATTTAAAAAAAATTTAAAAAAAAAAAAAAAAAAAATTGAGAGAAAAAGAAAATTCTCTACTAAAATTTTGAGTTTTAGTAGTGTGATTTCCTCCTCTAGAGGTGCCATAATCATAAATTTCCTTACCTCAGCCCCATCTACGGTGTGGGGCTATAGTAGGTATGCAAGACCCTCCATCTGTGAAATTCTTTCTCTGGGCCCCCTCTATTTCAAATTCCTGGATCCACCATTGCTATCCTTTAGTCTTGCTATGGAATTTGTGGTAAGGCTTACAGTTGTTCAGAAGTTGTTTAAATTGTAATTTAAAAATTGTGTCCTACGTTTGTCAATTGACAAGAAGGACACAATTTTTCTACTTGATGGTTTGAAATCCAATTATGCTGTAAAGTGTGTGGTCTCCTTAATGTAGGCCTAGTTAATATAAAAATAGGCTCCCAGCGGGAGCGCGTGTCTACAGCCTAATTTTATAGAAACGATGATGTGGAAAATGATTAATGATTTAATGGTCTCACATCATGAGAGTAAGTGTACACATCTAGATGTGTATAAGAGACAGCTATTATTATTATTATTATTACTACTATTATTAGACCAAACTCCCAATGACACGTTGAGGGACACAAATACCAGTGTAAAGTCCTTACTATCCATAGGCAGATTCAATGGGGGCTCACCTTGCCCGGGGACCCCTACATTTAAAAAAAATTAAAAAAAAAAAAAAAAAAAATTGAGAGAAAAAGAAAATTCTCTACTAAAATTTTGAGTTTTAGTAGTGTGATTTCCTCCTCTAGAGGTGCCATAATCATAAATTTCCTTACCTCAGCCCCATCTACGGTGTGGGGCTATAGTAGGTATGCAAGACCCTCCATCTGTGAAATTCTTTCTCTGGGCCCCCTCTATTTCAAATTCCTGGATCCACCATTACTATCCTTTTGTCTTGCTATGGAATTTGTGGTAAGACTTACAGTTGTTCAGAAGTTGTTTAAATTGTAATTTAAAAATTGTGTCCTACGTTTGTCAATTGACAAGAAGGACACAATTTTTCTACTTGATGGTTTGAAATCCAATTATGCTGTAAAGTGTGTGGTCTCTTTAATGTAGGCCTCTTTAATGTAGGCCTAGTTAATATAAAAATAGGCTCCCAGCGGGAGCGCGTGTCTACAGCCTAATTTTATAGTAACGATGATGTGGAAAATGATTAATGATTTAATGGTCTCACATCATGAGAGTAAGTGGGGGTGTTGATAATACTGTCATGTATAATTGCCTATTCAATGTATACAGTAGAGTACACCATGGTATTTCCTGTTAATAGATACATTACAGTGACAGTGATATCCTTATCCTGTTACCAGGACAACTGTTCCTGATACGAACCACACATAAGATATCCACCTACACATGACCGCCACCGGAATAAGAAAGGTCAACTGTTGCACGACAACATAGAATCTATCTACTGCTCCCTGAGGGGCAGATACAATAATGTCTAAGATTCATATATTTCGTTTTATCTATTTGAAACAAACGAATGTACATTAGTATGCATTTATATGTTGATAATCAAAACAATTCAGGGCATTATACTGCCATAGTTTGCGGGAAAAAACCAGTGGATTTTATTAGGTTTTTGTAGGCCAATAATATTTGATCTATTTCAAATATTTATAGACTTGCGCACACAACGACTACTTTACCAACAATGTACTTAAAATATCTGACTTCACTGATTTTAATAAAGGTATTATGTTTTTAGTTCAAACTGAGAAGAGAGATTTTGAATGATTTTGATTTTGATTTTAGTTTACAGTAAATTAATTTAACTTAGATACATTATAAATGTCCATAACCAGTCCTACTAAACACCGCCCGAGACCGCCCGACAATGTTTTTCAACGCCCGAGTGTATATATGATTAGTATTTAGGATAGATAATGACTTTTTGCTCAGGAATATATACCTTTGACCGACAGAAATAAGTTAAATATTTAATAAAACATTAATTTAATTTTACAGACTTTTGGGTGTTTCGGTGTGCTGCCAAAAGGCGTAACTCATTAACTAACACTGATGACGCATTTAACAATAGACCGTTGACGACAATAAGATCGTCTTTATCCCATAGACAACAATAAGGTCGACTTTATTTCCTCTGCTGTTTATTCTAATAAATTATGTCCCTTTTGTTTATTACTTATGCGAATTGGGCGAATTAACACCTTTACCCATTGTGTTCAAAGTAGCAAAAATTCTTCATTAGGTACAAATGACGCAAAATAAAAAAAGCATGATGATTGACATTCATAGGCTACTTTTTAGTGGCAAAAACTCTGCATCGGGAAGTTGAAATGATCATTATAAAATGATTTAAAGTTATTATTATTATTATTGGGATAATTGTAGGAATATGCAATTTGTTTTATTATAGGCCTACCATAAATAATGGCTGTTGATGTTTGTTGACAGTAATTAGTATGTCGACGGGATGTATATATCTTGCCACAGGGTAGTGTTCCTCATTTTTGTTGCCTAGTGATAAATAATTTATAATAATAATAATAATAATAATAATAATAATAATAATAATAATAATAATAATAATAATTTATACCGTTTATTTTTTCAGAAACTGTTGAAAATAACGAATGACAAACAAACTTGTTCATCCATCTTGTAATGTCAACCATAATACGCAAAAAAACAGCAGCCTGATGCAGCCGGGAGTACCCCATTAAGAAAAGAAGGACCAAGAAAAAAAGTTCACATTAATATTATTATATTATCGGTTATTATTAAAATATTAGATTAATTCAAATATGTAAAACAACATATAAAGGAATGAGATAAAAATATGAAATCGAAATTTAATGAAAGAATGTACGTAATCTTATTTCTAAAGCACACTGTAATAATTGCAGCAGAACATTTTGAAATATAAATCTTTTCTTTAACTGTGTATTAAACGAAGTCTAAACATCAGAAAAAAAAAAATTGCTAAAGAGAACGGAACAGAACACAGCAGTGATTGCGATTACCATTAACTATGGAAAGTAGCCTAAATCAATTAAAGTTAATTATAAACGTATAATAAAAATATTTGTATTACTCAGTTACCTACTTACTACTTATTACTTGTAATTAATTTGTCGGAATTTTTACTTTAGTTATATGAAAATATTAAAATGGAAACAAGAATAACTTTGAATAGTTGTTGATGTTGTTGTTGTTTGATGTATTTTTTTTCATAATATAATCATAGCCAAGATTCAAGATTCAAAATAACTTTTGCAGCCATTTCATATA